TTTTTTTTTTTTTTTTTTGAGGTCTTTCCTGGTCTAGTGGTATCCATGGTAACCTAAAATCAGCTTCCACCAAGCAGACCGGTCCTCCCCCAGGTGATACCAAATCACCTTCTTTCCTATGTCTTCTTTACTGATATTCTCCCTGCTGATGAACTTCTTCATCCATGGCGAGTGCTTCACGCCCGCACCTTGCGCTAATATTCCGGTGACGTAGACGTCATCCACCCACAGGAACTGAACTTGCGCGGCCGCACGCAAAAGTCTTGGGATGACGTTGGTCTGCACTACCCAGGCAGCGCCCATGCAATACTCAGGATAGGTACCGCTGGGATAGTCTTCGTCCTGGACGGCCCAGCGTCCCTGGCGCTGGACTTTTGATTTCTTCCATGGGTAGCAAAGGAACCTGTTCTTCTCTCGGGAGAGCCTCCTCCTGAGGAGGGACGTGAGAGAAGGGGGGTCCACCAACACGTCGTCGTCTGCGTGGAGCGTCCAGGGGACGGGGGAGCAGTGTCGACTCACCCACGCCAGAGACGCGAGGGCCTTGTAGCTCAGCAACTCGTATGCGTCGGTATAATTTCCCTGGGAATACAAGGAGACAGACACGACTTAAGAAAAGGTCAATAGCAAACACACACACAGAAAAGACACTATATCAGTCTCAAAGCGTAAGTACAAATAAATATAAGATGATATATAATGTCATTATCATCTTCATTCCTAGTTCATGATAGATGATATTCACCATAATTATTACCATTTTCCTGCACGCTCAGTAGAACAATGTTTCGTAACTATCAAACACTTCTGGTCTGGGGCATAACCTTGTGCATCAAGTAACATACCAACAAATACATATCATTCACAATAGCCTCAGTTTTCCCATCACAACTTTTTACTCCTTTTTGTAATAGTGTTTGACCTCATTCCAACAAAACTTCCCCCGCTACACCACCACAGAGATCAGCCTCGTCTTGTCACCTTCCCCACCTGCACGATGTCATGGTGGACACGACTTTCTTCTTGAACGATCCTCTGCTCCTCCGGGGTCCTGGCGCGCCCCACCATGAATACGACACCCAAGCCCACGTCTGTGTCGTATCCCCTGCCGCTCGCCCAGGTCGCCCTGGTGTGCGCCCGCTTGCGAGTCGCGAGGATGGAGGAGTGGATGTATGCAAGGAGGAAGAGGCGAGGGCGCTGGCGGTTGCAGAAGTCCTCCTCCTCGATCAAGAAGTCCGACGGAAAATCTTCGGCAGGAAGCGGGCGGCGCGCAGAGGTTGGCCGTCTGCCCTCGGCGCCCTGGGGGATCATGGGGACCGCGTTGGTCTCAATCTCAATCTCAACAACAATACGCAGGACGCTAATGAGCGCATAACACGCATATTGGTGGTTGGTTGCTGGGGGAAAGGGGGGAAGGATTAACGTGCAAGTGGAAGTGTCGGTGTTAGGGAAGGTGCTTATAGTGTTGTGTTTGTTTAGTTTGTTTGTGAAAGTATTATGTTTTAGTTTCAATTATATGTTGGGTGAGCCTATTCCAGTCGCGTATGGTATGTGGGAAGAATGAGTGCTTGTAAGAGTCAGTGTTGGTGTGGTATGTGACGAATTTACTGGTGTGTGAGTTCCTTGTGTTGCGTGAATGTGCTGCTTGTAAGTATTCGTGTTTGTTGATGTCTATAAGGTTGTTTGTGATTTTGTACATGATTTTAAGTCTGTGTGCTTGTCTTCGTATCTCAGACATGTCCATAATCTGTTTTTTTTTTTTTATGTAAGGTGTAATACCAGGTGAAAGTGTAATTGTGTGTAATAAACCTGGCAGCCCTAGTATTGACCTGCTCGAGCTTCTCAATGTTGTGCTTAGTGTCAGAAACCCCAGTGTTCTGTTTGCTTTATTGATGATGAAGTCAAGGTGTGTGCTGAAGGTGAGGTTGTTGGTTAGGTGGATGCCGAGGTATTTATAAGATGCTGTACGTGTTAAATGTTGGTTATGTAGGGTGTAAGTGTAGTGAATTGGTGGGTGGGATCTGGTGAAACAGAATTTTGCACTTATCAGGTCTAAAAGACATTTGTCATGATCTTCCCCACTGTTCTACGTCTATGTCTTGCTGGATGAGTCTACAGTCGTCTTCAGTTTTTATGGGTCGAAACAAAAGGCTGTCGTCGGCAAAAAGTCTAGCAGAAGATTTAGGTTGAAAACGGGAGGTCGTTAATATACAGAAGGAAAAGGAGGGGGCCAAGAACGGTGCCTTGTGGGACACCAGAAGAGACGGGGACAGGGTCGGAAGATACGCCGTTGAGTAAGACACGTTGGGTATTACACGTCAAGAAAGCAGTGATCCAGTGAAGGATTGGTCCTGTGATCCCGTAATGTCGTAATTTAAGTCAGTCTTTTGTGGGGAACTTTGTCAAAGGCTTTGGCAAAGTCAAGCAGTATGGCGTCAACTTGTTTGGTGTCACGTCTGTCTAGTTGTCGGTGATGAGTAATGATTAGTTGGGTCTCACATGA